AATATTATTTTCTACATAATAAAAGTTACATTTTAAGATTACCTTTACCTATTTAGATAGGACATTCTTCAAACAGGGTCACCCCATCCTCTCTGTCCCCGATCCTATGTCCATATAGTCGAGCTTCCACTTCTTCATTTTGTAGATTTCTTGAGATTAAATAATTTTTCATAATTATTCAAGCAACTGCAAAAATCAGTAGGGGTCCTGAAGACCTTGTTATTTTGTATTATATTTGTTATACAACAGCTGGCTTTTTGTTGTTTTCAGCTTATTTGTCAGTAGTTTATCAGTCTTCTTTCCTCTACAGTAGAATCTAAGTTTTAATTTGCTTATATTTTTAGCAATTTGTTTGTTTATATCTTGGTTAATATTTTTTTTTTTTTTGTGTGAAATCCAGCAATTCTTTTGCTTTATCTAGCACAACGTTTATATAGTTGTGGTGGAATGTACTGTTCCTTTTGTTAATTTTTCTTCATATACGTTCGAGAGTTATGTTACCCGAACACCCTGGTTTCAACTCCCAAAAGAGATCAACCCCTGTACCACATTAGAGCATTCACACCAGCAACTCAAGTGCGAACCGCAAGGGAAGTAAATAATGAATGCTTCCATTTCATATAACTGAATACACGTGGTCAACAAAAGAATGGTGACCATCTTGCCTCCCGTACATGGGCAGCGGTACTTGGTCGTTCGAGTGCCTGGAACCCTTTTCGGCTAGGCACTCACACAAACTCTGGTAAAGATTATACCGCTGCGTCCTACTTCTCGACCGACGTTCGGGAGATGGGATCTACCAATTAGGGGGAGCATTCTCTCCCTGAAATCAGGAGAATCCCTTGTACGGTGTTTGCACATGAACCCCTGAAAAGAGACCCCCCTGGGCACCTTTTTACCTGGAACTCTTTTGGACCATCACCTTGTGGCTGGCTGGTCAAAATTTTACCCTGGTGGCGATCCAATTCTGCCAAATGGATCTGCGTGATTTTTGGCTACGATAAACACTCAGGCCAGAGCTATCCGGGGATATAACTCTTGTGGGATTCCTGGTTATATTACCATATATAACGATCCATTCGTAGTTTCACAGTGAGGTGGGCAGTCCGGTGACCAGTACCCAGACACTGTCTGGGCGGCGGTCGGACGACCTGAACCCAGTATGCCTGATGTTGAAGTTAGGAGTCACAGCGTGGAATGGATTAGCAGGTTCTGGTGCAGGGTAACCGCACGCCCCCTGGTGGTGAGCACCAGCGTTTGTGTGGCCACATACCAGGACCCTGATGCAGCTTCAGTAAAAAGAGTATTGTATACCAGAAGCCATCATCTGCAACTTGGAACAGGATGTGATATTCACTGTAGCGGCTGTGCACGCTTTTGGCATTGTCACCCTCCTGCTGCTTGCCTGTCTGCACTGTAGCGTAACTTCGGCCCTCCCGCTCACCGCCTCATGAGACTTTGCGAGCAGCAGCAGGCGATAATGGAGTTTCAGCTGCAGCACGCACGGGTCAGTGGCTCTGCACCAGACTTCCCTCCAATTGATAAGAGTTAAAGGATTTCAAGGGGACTCATTACAATTACAGGGCCTCTAACGAGTCCTGTATTGTTATTTGTCATCACTACCTTCCCGCGTCAGGAGTGGGTCATTTGCGCGCCTGCTGCCTTCCTTGCATGTGGTAGCCGTTTCCCAGGGTCCCTGTACGTAATGGAACCCTGATTCCCCGTTACCCGTGGTCACCATGGTAGGCGCAGAAACTGGCATCGAAAGTTGATATGGATGACATCCGCATGCAAAGTCGCCACCATGGGGATGTGTGATTTGCCCGAGGTTCAAAAAAGTGCCTGCGCAACTATAATGTCAACAGCTACTCTGCAGAACAGAGTTGTCTTTTTTTATATGTCCCAATATTTTGGGGGCTACCCCAATTAAAATATATATATATACATATATATAAACAGTGTTGGCTACCTCATCCTCCTCCTCCCCCGCTGCTTCCTCCTCCACCGCCATGGTCACCGCCTCCTCAACCTTGAAAAAAACCAAAACATAAAAGACAGTGTTGGCTACCTCATCCTTCTCCTCCAACCCTACGGTCACCGCCTCCTCAACCTATGGGTCACTTAGTATAAACTAGGTACACATTAGCAGAGGCTTGGAAGGCCTTTTCTCCATGCATCAGGAGTTGAGCATTTCTCCATGCATCAGGAGTTGAGCATTTCTCCATGCATCAGGACTGCAAGAAATGCACCGCAGGCTGCAAATGTTACTTTATTTGTATGTCCCAATATTTTATGGGCTACCACAATTAAAAAAAACAAAAAACATAAAATACAGTGTTGGCTACCTCATCCTCCTCCTCCACCGCCATGGTCAACGCCTCCTCAACCTATGGGTCACTTCGTATAAACTAGGTACACGTTAGCAGAGGCTTGTGAAGGCCTTTTCTCCATGCATCAGGAGTTGAGCCTTTCTCCATGCATCAGGACTGCAAGAAATGCACTGCAGGCCGCAAATGTTACTTTATTTGTATGTCCCAATATTTTGTGGGCTACCACAATTAAAAAAAAAACCCCCATAAAATACAGTGTTGGCTACCTCATCCTACTCCTCCACCGCCACGGTAAACGCCTTCTCAACCTATGAGTAACTTAGTATTAAATAGGTACACGTTAGCAGAGGCTTGTGAAGGCCTTTTCTCCATGCATCAGGAGTTGAGCCTTTCTCCATGCATCAGAACTGCAAGAAATGCACCGCGGGCCGCAAATGTTACTTTATTTGTATGTCCCAATATTTTGTGGGCTACCACAATTAATAAAAACAAAACATAAAATACATTGTTGGCTACCTAATCCTCCTCCTACACCGCCATGGTCACCGCCTCCTCAACCTATGGGTCACTTAGTATAAACTAGGTACACATTAGCAGAGGCTTGTGAAGGCCTTTTCTCCATGTATCAGGAGTTGAGCATTTCTCCATGCATCAGGACTGCAAAAAATGCACCGCAGGCCACAAATGTTACTTTATTTGTATGTCCCAATATTTTGTGGGCTACCACAATTAAAAAAAAACAAAAAACATAAAATACAGTGTTGGCTACCTCATCCTCCTCCACCGCCACGGTCACCTCCTCCTCAACCTATGAGTCACTTAGTATAAACTATGTACACAATAGCAGAGGCTTGTGAAGGCATATTTTCCATGCATCAGAAGTTGAGTATTTCTCCATGCATCAGGACTGCAAGAAATGCACCGCAGGCCACAAATGGTACTTTATTTGTATGTCCCAATATTTTGTGGGCTACCACAATAAAAAAATAAAAAAAAAAACATCAAATACAGTGTTGGCTACCTCATCCTCCTCCTCCACCGCAGCTTCCTCCTCCACCACCATGGTCACTGCCTCCTCAACCTCTGGGTCACTTAGTATAAACTATGTACACATTATCAGAAGCTTGTGAAGGCCTTTTCTCCATGCATCAGGAGTTGAGCTCAGTTTGAACAATGAAAGAGAATACCCTGCCCTCCAACCCTCTCTCAAATGGATAATTCTCATAATCCTCCTGACAACCATGAATTAGATTTTGATTTATGTTCTTCCAAAGCTAAAATCAAAGATTTCATCTAGTGCTTTTTTATGGCTCAGCTGTATTTTTCATTTTTATGTATTTTATGTTATTTTAAATGATTTCCCTATCCACATTTGTTTGCAGGGCACTTGTCCTACTCTTACCCCCATTTTACTTCCTTTTGCAGCTCTCTAGCTCCTTCAAGGAGTTTTTAGAGGGATTTTTGTGGCCAAAAGTTCGGGTCCCCATTGACTTCAATGGGGCTCGGGGTCAAGTTCGAGCCCGAAACCGGACTTTTTTCAAAGTTCGGCCGAACCCGAACATCCAGGTGTCCGCTCAACTCTAGTTATCAATAATTTTTTTAAACTTCTCTCTATTAATGTGGTTAAATAGCAGATGATCATTTAGCTTCTAAGCTGTTCTATTTTTCAAGGGATATGTGCATATATTGAACATATGTATTGATGTTTTTTCAAAATTATTTACCAAGTTTAAATTGCTCCATGTAGTCCCTCACTCCAGGATTAAAATCCTGTCAAAGGTCAAAGAGATCGTAGTTATTCAAAGCTTTATTCGGAGATCTAGAGTATTTAATCACTTTATCATCAAGTCACTTTTCAATAGTTTTTTCTATCCATAGTATGATCTAAAACACAATTAAAATCGCCAGGTAGATACTAGTTGTAATTTGTTCCGCTTTTATCAAAATCTTATTTAGAATTGGCACTGGTGCCATATTTGGTGCTAAATGCATTAATATTGCATATTACAATCATGAACCTTTCTTCTGGAGACAACCTACTGGTTGGTTTGTTGGTTTTGGAATGCAGATGCAGTGGAACAGCAAACCTTTGCAAAGCCTTCCCAGGTGCCTGAGAGTGATACAGGAACCTGAAGGATCTATGAGGGCATGGTTACCTTTATTAACAGAAAAAAAAATAAACACAGAAAGGAGCAGGCAGCAAGTGGTGGCAGGTGGTCCAATGGTCAGGGCTGGAAGCAGATGAGTGAAGTCAAGCCTAAGGTCAGAAGCCAGTATATCCACAACTAGAGAGCAGGATGTCAGAAGCCAAGGGTCAGGGAAAAGAAGCGTGGTCAGGGTCAAAGCCAAAGGGCAGAAGCTGAGAAGTATTACCAGGAAACAGGAAAAGGAAATCAAGAACACGGATCACTAGCCAAAAATGCCAGGAGACTGGGAGCAAACACCAGAACAACCAACCACTGACTAAGTGCAGTGCTTGGCTATTTTAGGGGAGGCCCTACACCCTTGAAGGCAGAGCCCCCCCAGCTATTTAGGAAGAGCAGGGTCTTGGAGCCATGCTGCAGACTCCACCCCTTCAATTACGGGCCAGCCCCCTAGCCCTCCTTCCCCAACGCATGCCGTGCAGGTGTCCGCGTAGTCACCACCTGTGACAAACTCCCTTCTTCAAGTGAGTTTGCCACAAGCTCCTGGAGCAGCCTGCTTGCCAGCCTTCTGCCCACAGACTATGGGCCCTGCAGGGATACCTGTAAAAGACTACCAAACTTGACCGACTGTTAGCACTGATTTCTCTTTTTTTTTCTTTTTTTTTTTAATTCTTTATTTTTTATTGAGGCATTTGAGTTATACACAACATCAAAAAGCATTGGGAGCTTTTGGCACATAAACAAAAACAAAAAAAAATGCAATCAAATACAATAGGCTCCAAGTAAAAACAGCCTAATTGTTTTTTTTTTTAAGTAGATAATAACAATGCACGTGCGGTACAGTAATCTGTGAGAACCTAGAGTAAGCATATGCACTAACTTTAAAAGAGATGAAAATAATTGAAAGGCACGGTGTGTGTGTGGAACATTAATATTTGATAACATAGGGTGGTCGGACGTATTGAGCTGGACTGTGCAGGTACATTTTAGGCATTCTCTATTTCCCTATCTTGCAGTGCGTGAGTAAACAAAACGGGTCTGTAGTGCCCCAGTAGCACTTACAGACGACATAAGGTAACAGTGGGGTGATATTTGTTTGTGAAGCATTAATTGTTAAGGGTGTTGCTGCATGTGTTACTTATGAGTGTGCAGAGTCTGGTGCAGTATATACAATGGCGGTCCCACAGGCATATGCGCTATGATAGTTGTCTAGCATTTTAACCCGTGGGTTATCTTGGCAATGTGGGTACTGGCTTTGGGTGAGTTGGTACTAAGGAGTGCTGATCTGCTGTGCCATATATTTGAGCAGTGTCAGCTGTGTTATGAGCCGGGTGAGGTGCGAAAGGTTAGCCTTTATTAAAAAAATATAAAAAAAAAAATTTGTCAAAGCTGTAATAAGGGGGATACATGAGAGGGCGGTTAGGCTGGTTGAGGATTAGACCTTTCGGGGTAAATTGTTCAGTCGCCCATTCAGTATCATAGGGGTTCAGGGGTGTAAGATTAATCTGAAGTAAAACATTAAATTAAGCAACGTGTGATCAGGTAAATGAAGGGGAGGCGGGGAGTCCTGTCTGTGATTTAGAGTGATAGGTATCTATCAGTCATTGGGAAGCATCGTATTGTAAATATAAACAGTTGCACTTAGACACATAGTTTGAGTTAGACATAATTAAAATAAACATAGGCATAATTTATCTTTGAACCGATCAGTGAAGGCAATCCCCTTCATGGTGTGGTTTGAAGGCAAAAGGCGCGAGGGTGCTATTCTCAGGTGGTGGCTGTGTGGTGTAAGTGTCCGAGAGGGCCCTCCGTGGCGTGAACGACTGGATGTTCGGTGGATCCCATCTAGGTGCTTCTGCAAACCTGGGGTGTCCAGGTTGTAATACAGTATCCTTTGGTAGCCCCAATATTCCCAGAAGGGTCTTTGCTTCTTGCAGGTCGTGCATGGTGTGGGTGGTTTCTCCTTGCTGGATCTGTAGGGGCCGTGGCGAGCGCCCACGGTATTGTAGGCTGTTGGCCCAGAGTAGTGCTGTAAAGGGCTACATAGATTTGCGCCATACCAGAGTTTCTCCAGAGAGATCCTGGTAAAATGGGAGTGTCATGTTTTCAAATGTGAACGGGGCTTTACCCCTTAATGCGGCCTGAACAGCCATCTTGTCAGTCATGTTATGGAATTGCACCACTAAGTCCAGAGGTGCTGTTGTCGGTGCTCGTCGGGCGTTTGGGATTCGGACAACCCCCTCGAAGGTGAGGCCCCCATCATCCATCTCAGTAGGTGTGGGAGTTCCGCCTCAGGAGTTTCCTCTGGTGTGCCCCTGAGCTTTAAATTTTTCTTTCGTTGGATGTTCTCCAGGTTGGGAAAGCGCTAGTCAGTGAGGGCCTACTATTTCTTCAGTGCTTGTATTTCCAGCTGAAGCTCTGCCATCGAAGCAGCTTGTTTCTCTGTGGCGGTCTCGACCCCCTCCAGGTGGCCCATCAGGCCCGTCAGGTCGGAGCGGAGTTGTGCCACATCTAATTG